GTTATCAATTTGTCGGAATATTTTTTTAATTTAAGAGGCAAAATTCGCCAAGTGGTCAGCAGCGTTGCGGTTTTGATACAATTGTATCCTTTTTTGTTCAAAAATGCCCCATTTTGATACTTTTGGCAGACTGTTGTGTGTGCTTTTCATACTTTTTGTGCTTGGCAACTGATACTTTTTTTTCAAACCTACCGCTAAAGCTCTGGTGGTAACCAACGTGTGAAAGTTTTTTTTCTACCACATTTCAGCCCTTTTTCTTAGAGTCACAAATTTTCTTAAAATTCTTATCTCATGTGACACTTATGATAGAGAATCAAAAATTGCTGAGCTTTAGAGCTCTTTCCGTGCTTTTTGGTGAAAACTATACTATTGTATTGCATTTTTCAAACAATGTACCTTTTCTTTTCGAAAAAGGCTTGTTTCGATAAGCTTTCCAACGATATATAATTTGTATTGGCCGTGGCAAAAGGACTATAAGTTTTTCTTAATAGAAGGCACTCGGTCCCGCCTTGGATTTTTGTCGGCAATAACACAAGTATACAAAAATTAAAAAAAAGCAAGTAAGAAAATCTAAGTTCGGGCGGAGCCGAACATTAAATACCCGGCGCAAGTATTAAATATATGTTTTTCACCTTTACGAAAGCTACCGATACATAGTAAGCCGGGGTGTATCAATTTTGAGTAAATTAGTGTCCTTAAATGTCGAAATATTGAAGTTTTAAGCATTCCTGAAATGTACCGTTATACGAAAGGCGGCCGTATTTTTAGTCCGATTTCAATAATTTTTAACGTTTTGCTTTTACATGGCAAGCACAATAACCATACCGAGTTTGGTACAAAGTGGTAGAACAGTTACCGAGAAACATATATGTGATCATAAGTGGGCGGTGCCACACCAGTTTTCCAAAATTTTATCATAAGCGTATTTATTGGTAAAGAATTGTTGCAAGCATCAATTTTGAATAAATTAGCTTTAATATTTACTGATTTATCAAAGATTTTGTATTTCTCTAAATTGCCGTTATATGGTTATTGTCCGATTTTAAAAATTTTCGGCCATTTAGTATGCGCCAAGCTTGGAAGAAATTGGTGCAGCGGTTTCCAAGATATACACATGTAAGNTTTACTGATTTATCAAAGATTTTGTATTTCTCTAAATTGCCGTTATATGGAATGGGGCGTGGTTATTGTCCGATTTTAAAAATTTTCGGCCATTTAGTATGCGCCAAGCTTGGAAGAAATTGGTGCAGCGGTTTCCAAGATATACACATGTAAGTCCAAAAATGTATAATATTCTTATTTTTCGTCTGAAAATTATTGTAAATATCAATTTTTAGTGAATTATCTTCAGTAGTTACTAAAATATCGCAGTTTTCGTATATCTGAAAATTACCGTTATATGGGCAGTGGGCGTGGTTAAAGTGCGATTTCGCCCATTTGCAATACCAACCTACCTTAGATAAATGGAAACCTACATACCAAATTTCGTTGAGATATCTAAATTTTTGCTCGAGTTATCGTGTACAGGGACGGACGGACAGACGGGCAGACGGACAGACAGACAGACATGGCTTAATCGATTTCTCTATTCATTCTGAGCATTTATGTATACATTTGTCTATATCTATCTCGATTCGTTTTGGTTGTTACAAACAACCGTTATGTGAAACCAGTTAGAAAAAATACTAGTGCATAAACTAGTATGTGCCTACCAGTTGTGCCTACCAGTTCGTCATTTTCGAAGAACTTAAGCGTTCAGTGACATCTGCCTTTGAATTGCCAAAGCATAAAGTAAAACGCAATTAATTACTTTTCTTACAAATGTCGGCTGTGGTGTCACGTGAAGACTACTGGTTCTGGTTTTGGGATCGCAGGTTCGGAGCCGCTTGGAGGTGGTTAAGATTTTTGAAGTTAGATCAATGTAGGTAGGAATTATTATTTCAATTTAATACAAATAACAAACTTAAAAATCTAATTGCATTACAAAAAAAAAAGAAACAATAAAATATATGGGAAGAAACACTTGTGCCATAAAAATTAGATAAAAAAAAATATTTTTTGTTTTTAATTAAATTTAAGAATAACAAAAAAACGTAAATAAAAAATATAAATAAAAGAAATATTATAAAAAATAAATAAAATAAAAAAAATTCCCCGCGCCAGGGCTTGAACCTGATACCTCAGGCATACCACTCGAGTGCTTTACTCTGTCGGCCATTGCGACTGTTGGAGCGCCGCGAGCAAAAAGGCATACTAATGCTTTTCATGGGGGATGTATTGGCAGACTATCTCATCAACTGGTATGATGCTACTAGTATTTCTACTAGTAGATGCTGATGCATAGCCTGACAATTGACATCTCGTAGGACATCGCAATGTTAAAAATACCAGTCGCTAACATTGAAAAAGGATAGAATGTGAACTAGTTGGGCTGAAACGCAAGCTGGTAGAATTCTAGTTCACAACTAGTAGCTTTCCCTGCAGGGAATTTATACTCTCCTTCCAAATTGATACCGTCTTTTTCTAAGAAAACTTCGTTTCGTTTTCCAAGCGATTTAGAGCGTTCGATAGCATTATTTTTTTTGTTATTATTATATTCCCCAATTTTAGATGGAAGTAATAAGATCAAATCAAAAATGTTTAATGTCTCTTTCGGCAATCTTTCTCGGAGATCGCGCAAAATATTATGAAATAGCGGTATAAATATTGCCTTTCGATAATAATCTTCAGCGTTAGACGCACGATAATTAGCCCGTAAATTTTGTATATTCGCTCTCCGAGGAAATACAATGCCAAAATCCAATTCCTTAGCGATATCGGTATATCAGACAAATGTGTGTCAGCATTTTCTCTATAATTTCGAAGAATATTCACAGTGCCATTGACTGCTTCACTAGCACGATTCAAGTCAGGCGAGGGCGCTTAGAGAAGTAAACTTTTAATTTTTAATTTTTTAATTTAACTTTTTAACTTTTATTATATTTTTCAAGTCATTCATATTTTTATGGGCTATACTATAATAAATTTTGTACAATTAAAAATCAAAGTGGATTTACTTAAATGAACACAACGTATTAATTATAAATTCTGAAATATAAATAAATAAAACATTGAAAAGCAGTCAATGCTTGCTGTTTGACTCGAACTTGGATGTACGTGAACTTGGGTAATGTATAATTGTTTATATGATTCCTCAAAGTATCCCTTATATAACACTGTGGAACCCAAAAAATCCTTAGTGCGAATATATCAGGTTTGATAGCTGTTGGCCATACCAATAATGCCTCATACTCAGATTTACTAGATCAATTCGTGTTCTCCGAGAAAAAAAAAGTTCACGATCCAAAAATCTGAAAAATCTTTTTTCTCCAAATTTTGAAGATTTATCGTTTTTGGCCTACATTTTTTGGCAAATACTATACAAAGCAAATATAGGCAAAAAATGAAGAATTTTCAAAATTTTGAGAAAAGAATTTGGCCGCTATACTCAGATTTTTTAATCGTGAAATTTTTTTTCTCCTGAACACGAATTGATCTAGTAAAACTGAGTATGAGGCATTATTGGTATGGTCAACAGCTATCAAACCTGATATATGCGCACAAGAAGCCCATTTGAAAGAGGGGGACAAAATATCACACGTAAATGAATTCCTCTATTTGGCCTGTACAATATAAGGGAAACATTTCAAATTCATAAGGGATAATTTTCTTAGTGATGCGGCTTATATAAGGAATTATATATGCCATACTGTTCTAGCTGGGTATTCATCAGCTCAAAAATTTTAAGCATATTATCATATTCCTGTGAATAAAAACACGCCTTATTTTATTATTTTAATTATCTACAACTTTATGAGACTACCAAGCCATATATATATCTATTCAGATAATCGGAACGCTATTGAGAAGGCATACAATTTNTTTAATGTAAATGTGGAAATGCATACTTACACAAAATTACACACTAAATGAAACACACTCATTTATAAAACCATTTTGACAATTTTCTTGCTTTTACTATCCCAATGCTTTTGAGCATTTATTTTTTTATACAAATACTTAATTCTAAAGTATATTAGACATTAAAAAAGTTTGATTCTTCTAAATTTACACCAGAACTTAACTTCAATAATTTATCTATTATCTAAATTTTTGCTATTCGAAATTTCCTTTCCATTAAATTTATTAAAAATTACTTTCAGTTTCTTTATGTCAACAAGGAATACTGGTTTAGGTTTTATCAGACCACCATTTGAAATTTGGCCTATCCATGTATGTATATGAAAGGGAGATTTTCTTTTCATATGCGGTATGATAAATCCTGCACCTGGGACCAAACGCGTTCACTTAGAAATACTCGGCTGCGATAGGCAACAAATAAAGTCACGACCACACGTGAAGAGTCTCCTAATGAAATATCGCAGCAATTTGCCCTCCGTTGTCGCTACACTTGACAATTCGAAGGTTTAAAATAACGCACAAGTTTGTTGTCCAGGCTCTTGACAAACACAACGCACCGCTCGCAATTCCTTTTCATTTTATTATGTATTTAAAATCAGTCGCACAGCTCACAATTGAAAATGTATATAAAAAAAATTTTTTTGAATAGTATACGGTTAAGAGTTGAAATTTCAGTCGCAGTTCAAAAGAGAGAAATGTCGAAATCACTTCTACCTTCTTATATCTTGGTTGGGACGATTAGGAGGACGACATATCTTGGTTCTTTTAAAGGATGTCAGCTCGTGAGCTTTGCAGGCATGGGGCAGAAATCGCTTAAGAGGTTACACATAGCACAGTCAAAAGTCCAATTTATAACAAATTTCTTACAATTGTTACGACTAATTTTTTTCAAATTTGTATAAAAATAAATCTCGTGTTCAAAGAACTGAATTGCTAACATGGAAAAACCAAAAACTAATCTGTGTGAAAAAATCATATTACTATTTTCTCGGGGGATATGCTTAAATCTAAATCATAACTTTTAGATTAAAAGTCGAGTGTCCACGGGGTTTGGTATTTATTAAAATTCATATGATTTACCCCAATACAAGCACGTATAATTTTTATTTTAAATCAATAGTACGGGTAATAATTCGTAGTTTTTGTTTGATGCCTTAAACACTCGACCATCAATAGAGAATAATGGAGAGAATTTCAATTAACGCGGCTCGTCAAATGTCAATAAAGATCGAGGTTTTTTTACGAATGAATAGATAGGTAGGCAGTTTTGCATAGATTAACAAATATATGTGGATGGCGTAATTACCTGGCACTGCTGCCGCTATTCATCAGGCCACCCATGTTTTGATGCAGATTTGACATCGGCGATGTAGCCTGTGAGTTGTGATGCAGATGCGCTGCTGCGGCGGCGGCCATCACGGATGCGGTATTTGGTGAATTCGTTGCGTTAACAGATGAAGAGGCGGTTGTGTTGTGCGGGTTTATATGCCCGTGACCGTGAAGATGTGTGGTGTGGTGTAGCGAATGCTGATGCTGGCTGTGCAATGCTGAAGAGTTGTGGTGTTGCAGTTGATGCGCCGATGAGCTCGAAACACCGACCCCACAACCTGATGCCACGGAGCTGCCAGATCCAGCTGAACCAGCCGACGACGAAGTTGAAGCTGACTGATGCAGCGACAATGATGTGGACGATGACGCCGGGTGGATGCTATTGCCGCCGTGTGTGTGATGCGATAGCGCTGTTGGCGACGAATGAATGCCTGAGTGCGATACTGGATGCGAGGCGGCTGCCAGTAGCGAACTGTGGTGATGGTGAAGCGACGCGGATGCTGAGCTGCTGGATGTGGGTGAGTGGCTGGTCGAGGACGCTGAATTCAACGACAATTGATGATGACTTAAATGGTGACTGTTGTGGTGTGCTTGCAAATGGGCCTGTTGATGATGATGCTGTTGCTGCTGTTGCAATTGCTGTTGTTGTTGCTGATGAACAGCAGCGGCTAATTGACCCAAATGGTGATGATGATGATGCTGGTGATGATGGTGTCCACCTGTGCTAGTTGACGAGGTGACCGCCGATGCGGAGTTGAGATGATTTTGTAGTTGCTGTCCAGTTGTGGATAACGAAAGCGGATGCGCGAGCGATATGCCTGATAGCGACAATGATGGGATACGATCCATCATTTTGTGGAGAAGACCAGGAAATTTTGGTTGGTTGGCGTGCTTCCGGCTGCAGGAGTGGTAGTGTAATTAGATATCGGGTCTGGTTGGAGCGCCGGATTAGTGGTGCTAAGGTTGATGACAAGAGTCGTTGGAAGCGTGAGGCTGTAAAATATTAAAAATACAAAAAATTCCAGTAAAGCATTTTCTGTGGATAGTTTTAAATAATATATGTAGATATAAACATTTCACAAACAAACATATGCAGGGAGTCCAAGAACACCCGCCCACCCCTTCTAAAATGGAGGAAGATGTTTTCTATTGGAAGACGCAAGAAATGAACTACCAAGTCGGGGTACTGAATCATTTGGTCGTATTACGGTCTTCCGGTTTCGAGCGGAAGTGTGTTAAACTTACCGAAAGTCCATTTTTTTTAAATAGGAGATACATGTCGTTTATTTCATTTCCGGTCGAAACTCTAGGTCGGTAAAACAACAAAAAGATAGAGCATCTCCGATTTTGTGGTTCATACTATTGTATTTTCGAATAAACAACATTTTTCACCATTTTAGAAGGGATGGACGGATGGTTTAGGACACCTTGTATGTATATGAATATATGCTAATAAAAATTTCCGTTATACATGGTATGTATGTGGTTTTTAATAACCAAGTTGTAATTGAGTTTTATAATAACTTATTTCTACATATGTACATACAATTTTGATGAGTCGTTCGTCGTACAGGCTAACCTAATATTCGCGGGTTGCGTTTTAGTATGCATGCCGTCGAATTTTTTTTGCGTCACCAGAAATTGGTTTGGTAACTGCAAATTTACTCAAAGCTTGCTTATTCGCAACTTAACTCGTAGCTTTTTGTGTTACAAATGAGCTTTCCGTGCACTGTAGCAAGACCTTTATATACCAACATTGCTTCGCACCCATGGTAACTCTAGAAGGTTCTTATCGAGAGTTATCGTTATCGAACGTTCCCGTCCTTCTCTACTACATAGAACCATCTGTCATTCTTTTCTGTTTTGCTTTCACCTGCCATTCGTGTTTTCAGTATTCCCCACAATATTACGCATTTAAATTTTTTTTCGAAATTTGATTAAATGATAATTGCCAAAGTATGTATGAAAAATAAATGTATTATAAACGAAACAATAAGTTTATCTAACATACCCTGTTAACCTTCTCAATTACATCAACAACTTTTCTAATTTCTTTACCTGTATAGTTTTGCCACCAGCAGAACTACCCACCCGGGCACAGGCGTTTCGCCGCCCCTGTGAACAGCTGATAAATTGCTTGTTTATTCGCAGCAAATTCCTAATAAAACAATATATTTTATACATATTTAAATAGGTTCATTTCGTCAATTTCAACAATGAAAACAAATTAAGAGTTTCCTTATTACTTTAAATTGCATTCAGCAACTAGCGATCAGCTGGCAAATTCTTACAAGTAAAAATTTATCTAGTAAAATCCAGTAAAAACTTGGAACGTCAACTGCCATTTTTAGCTCTCTCAATTTCCCCTACTTTGCAAGCTTTTGCTTACCAAAACGCCAAAACATGAAAATTCGTAAAAACTTTTACTGGAAATGAGTAAACAACAACAACTAATAAATTGGCGGCGTGCGTGAATATTAGGTTAGCATGTTAGGGTTCAAAATTTGTCCCTCCCGGTGATTTACTTCCTTCTAATTTTGCTACATGAAATCATACTTGTTTTGAAAACAATGTTAGCAGAGGACTTTTTTTTTAGTTATAGCTAAAATTTTTGAATTCCTTATGCAATACAATATTACAAAAGCATCTCAAAATGTTTACGTTTACTCAAGCCTTTTCTGTGCTTTTGCAGGTATCGCATACGATCTTCAAAATTGACAGAATTCAAAATTTTACATTTTTGAAGTTGTGCGCTATAAATTTACACAGATCTTTTAATTACTTTTCAGCAAAATCTGGAGCAAATCCTTGTTATAATTTGTTGAAAAAACCTAAAGTAAAGTCTGCTTTGCCCATTTAATTAGCAGAAATAAGAATAAGAAAAGAAATAGTTCTGCACATTTTCTGACAAATGTGTAATTTTGAGTTGTGTCACTTTTGAAAATTGTTGTGCGATGTGTAAAATACGTTTTCGCCGCATATTTATGGCGGAACAAATATTCGTAAGCCTAACACTGTGAGATTTTAACCAAGCATTTCGTCGGAAGGAATCCGTGACCGAATAAAATTCTATTCGAAACTTCTTTTCGGTAGTGAGCTCATTTTTTCAATTAAAATGGTATTGGTAAGAAAACAACGGATGGTGTTGATCTGGACCAGTATAGGTTTATCGTTGAATGCTTTAATTACGTGAAATATGTACATTTTTTGTTGTTTTTTGAAAAAAACAATTTATCTCAAGTCGAATTCATATAAGGTTAGATCATGAGTACAAAAATAACAATTAAACTAACCAACTTTACGCACAATGACTGTAAGAATTACAACAAATTCATCATTTTGACGCGAAAATCCAGCTGGTCTGGTAACAACCATTCGCCTTCATTTATCCTATATGAGTGAACACTAACTAATTTGTTTCTTAACCATTTTTTTGTATGTTTATGAAGTATAAAACGAACTATAAATGAATCGAAAGAATTTTTGACTTCCATAGTGTGGACCAGGCGTACTTATTTTTGAATAACTGGTAGAGGCATTTTTAGAGCCAAAGTTTATCTCACTTAACACCATTTGATTTCTGTGATTGTGTGATGGATATGCATTGATGACCCATAAAATTTCGAGTATAATTTTGCACTCCAAATACATAAAGATAACTTTGC